ATCACTGAAAACAGTCAACAGTCACTGAACATCCAAGTGGTATACTCGAGGGGAAAACCGCTGAGCGCATTGTGGTGTACAGATTTGCGGCATTACTGGGCATTACTAGGCGTTACTAGGCATTTTTGGGTATTACTTTGGGCATTAGGCCTTGCTGGGACATTCTAATGATATAATAAGATAAAATAAGATAAAACAAGATAAATAAAATAAAGTAATGCCCACTGGACATTAGTGGGCATTGGTGTACAAGATTTTGGTCAGCGGTTTCGCCCTCGCTTCGAATAATGTATAAAGCGATATAATACATTGAGATGCATAGCTTTCTGGGTTAGCTAAATTCTTGAATTTATTCGCAGGACAAACGTACTCTAAAAGTCAGTCACAGTGGATTATCACTGAAAACAGTCAACAGTCACTGAACATCCAAGTGGTATACTCGAGGGGAAAACCGCTGAGCGCATTGTGGTGTACAGATTTGCGGCATTACTGGGCATTACTAGGCGTTACTAGGCATTTTTGGCCATTACTTTGGGCCTTGCTGGGACATTATAAAGATAAAATAAGATAAACCAAGATACAACAAGGTAAATAAGATAAAGTAATGCCCACTGGGCATTAGTGGGCATTGGTGTACAAGATTTTGGTCAGCGGTTTTCCCCTCGAGTATATGAAGGGGATGTTGGAGTGATTCTACACTTGTCAATGTCAATTCGTGAAAATATTTGTGTAATATACAAATTATTGTGGGTTGCAAGTTGGAATTTTTTATGCATTCTTTTTAGAGCGGCTTCTTTATTTAATTAGTCACTTTAATTGCATATGATATTGCCATTCTACAATGAGATGACGAATGAAAATTCTTCTACTGAAAGTTTATTCCGTCTCTTACTATAAAAGTTGCACTCTTCGTACGTGTACTTTGGCCCTACTCGACTTATTGCTTACCGCAGGCAAGAGCGAAATAGTTTATAAAATGAAACGGTTAAAGCACTCACAATCAGTTCGATACTTTACTTGAGAGATCAAAGACAAGTTTATCGAAAAATATTAAATTTCGACGCTATTCTTTAGAAGCTCGAACATATTATATTATCTTGTAATAACATTTTTATCGAATAATAATTAAATACAATATAATTAAGCAGAAAGATATGTTTAATATGTTTAAAAGGTGCTTCTCTTGTCTTTCGTAAATCAGTCGATGTACTTATTTGTAGCACGGGTAAAATGCTCTGTAATGCTGTATCTCCATAAACTATGTACTCTCTAAAAGTCAATCAGTGCATTATCACTGACAACACACGGAGAGTAAATTTTACTAGTAAAATGTATAGTAAAATTTCAAAAAACTTTTATAAAATTCTTTAAAATGCCACACGGAAAGACCGGCTATGGCAAAAATAACTAAAATGTTGCTGTATAAATAGCAGGGGCATCTACATTGTTTTGTGTTGCAACATTCACTAAGTTTGCTGCACAAAACGCACGCAGTTGTCTCCGCTACTTATCATACCCTTATCAGACATGTGGTAACCATATCGGTCTCTTCGTGCACGTTGTCTTACATTTACATGATTTTCGGGATAAATTTTAAGAGAAAATTCTCTCCGTGAATAATTTAGTGCTATATACTTATAACTGTAAATCAGTGAATATTCACTGTTTTCAGTGACAATCCACCGATTAACTTTTAGAGAGAGCGAAGAGAGCGCGAGAGAGAAAGAGCGAAAAGAAGAAAGTGCCTAGGAGCTTGTAGAGCTGGAATTTTGACAAGGAGAATTATTTTTACTCTTGTGCGCTCACGCGTTCGTATCGGAGTACAGTGCCGAATGTATTCCGCCACGTGCGGAATACGGACGTGCACTTGTACGGACTCCACCGCATATTGACCCGCACGCGGATCAGTACGCTCAGTAACGTGGCATGACTACTTGCCGCGTCGCGTCTCATATCCGAGGCGCTCGCTTGACGCGTCGAACAAATCTTACAAGCGTCACGGATCAGCGTCAGACGGTAATGCAACTCCACGGTAGGGTGGGTCGTAAAGAGATACGTCTGCATCGGGAAGGGAGCGAGTCGAGATATTCCTGCACTCCGAGTGGATAATACTCTGTACGGAACATGTCGGGCGGACTGGAAACTGCCCTGAATCACGAGTCTCGAGATTTTGCATTTATAGAAAAGTATCCCGTTGAACATAGAAATCTCTTTAAGTTGCCAGCGAGGGGGAAACCGCTGAGGGTATTGTGGTGTACAGATTTGCGACATTACTGGGCATTGCTAGACATTACTAGGCATCTTTGGGTATTAGTTTGGGTATTATAAAGATAAAATAAGATAAAGGAAGATAAAACAAGATAAAATAAAATAAGATTACAAGGTAAAGTAATGCCCACCGGGCATCAGCGTGCATTGGTGTACAAGATTTTGGTCAGCGGTTTCCCCCTCGGTTGCGAGTAATAGATAACAAAAATCAAGCTCTTTAGTCGACATTAACCGGCCAGTGTTTCAATACAGAAAATTTATTGCGAAAAAGATTACCTCGGGGTTTGAACCTGGACGTCCCTACTCTCTACTCAAAAGCTGGATCATTGGTATCCTGTTTATTACACAATTCCACGTAATTAAATAATCTTCGGAAAACGTCGAGTTTTACGTCGAAAGCGTCACGTATACTTTCGGTCCTCTTCTCGATTTAAAGAAAAGAAATTTTCATTTATCTCACGAGGAATAAAACTTGAAATTCTTTTTCTTCTTCTTCAAATTCGATATCAATATATTTTTTGCACTCGCGTTCTACGCAAAGTGACGAGTTAGATTTTGGTTTTTTGTTCAAGCTACTTGACTTATTTCGGAGGATCAAGGTCGTTGACCTAGCGCCTGTCTCGGACTAACAGCTCTCGAGTTTTGTACGACACGTCTACGAGACATCGTCGCGGCACGATACACGAGCAGAGCCCGATAAGGGGAAAAGAGAGCGTGCGTTGGGGATGCGGGTGGTTTTGCGGGGGTCGAGACGACGCCGTGGGGTAACTCGCGCGTTGACGCTCGCCCGAAACGGAGGGTGACTCGCGCGGGCATCGAAAGAAGAGTTGGGGATGTAATGGAGAGAGGGAGCGAGGAAGGAAAAGAAAGATAGAGGGAGAGAGACCGATGGGTACATTTAGACTGCTCGGGATGCGCTGTGGTTCGGCCACGATCGAATATCGTGTGACTCCGTGATGTTTAGAGGATCGATTGCACGGAACATCCGGGAATTATTTTCGAATAAGAGATATTACAAACGAAGGTGTTCCGTAATGCAAGTAAATGACTACCATTTCTCGCTCGTTATGTTACGTTTTGATTCAATTCAATTTTTCTACGTCTTACTTTAAATACATGTACTATTAAAGTGGTGCGTGACACTTGCAATTTGTAATCTAATGATTTGTGGTCTGATTAACAGAAACACACAAACACAGAGATACACACACATATATTATTATTAAACATTAAGAACGAGGGGTATTTTTTAAATATAATTTCTGTAAAGTATAAGATGCTTAATTCATGCTTAATTATATGACGTACGTAAACGTATATAACTTCTAATGCAAGATAATTTCACCAACATTGTTAAGAAAAGGGAATTACAAAAAGGGGCGCAAACTGAAAATTTGCACGTTGCTTCCTCGTCCGTTAATTTCATTAACATAGATCAAACAAATGGGGGTTGCTTCTTGGGAACTTGTCGTAGTTCAACGTTGAGATATTTCGGATGCGATTACGACGATTAATGCCGCGGCATGCGTCCCGTGTGCACCGTGCACGCGGGATAGATGGTTGGCACGTTCCCACACCAGGACCCATCGACGCATCGCCATGGAAACGGCACCGCGCTCTCTGCCGCATCGTCACGTTGCGCCGCTTTGGAACAGCAGGCTAGTTTCAAGGGCGCTGCTCTATCGCGCCTTAAGGAGTGCAAGGACGATCAATATCCTTTGCACCCTTATTTCCGTCGCACTCACGAGCCCGCCGAATATCTTCGCACGTCGGCAATTCGCGTTACCCTCCCAATTTAATTCGGGAGATCCATTAAGGGTGCCGAGTGTGTCGTACATGGATCTTCCCGTCTATACGTTTTTCAGCAAAATTTCTAAATCTCGTCCTTTTTAAATGTCGCAATTAGTGAAAAAAATGAGTTAATAAAACAATTCGGTAAACGCTCGAAGCAAAAATATTCCGTGCCGGCGCGATGCAATGTATAATAAGAAAAAAACATCGCTCGATGATCCCTGGCGAAGCGATCGCCGGGATTGTGCCGGCAGGTGAAATCGCGTGCGCCGACCAAGAGCCGATCGTTAATACCCTGAAAGTACTTGTCGAAACACAGGGCGGAAAGTGCGCGGGAGGGCGATATTTATGCGGCGTCAATGCCGACGAAATCGATCGCTTTAAAAGTGGCACGTTTTAGCGCACGGCTCCCCTTCGTATTTCAGGAAGTACGCGGAAGAGGGAGGAATGAGGAGATTCACCCGGTGACCTCGTGCCGCGCGCGGTGATGCTACTGGCAAACGGTGCCTCCATACCGACCATCGCTGGCGCCGTCGAGGAGGAGGAGGAGTACGCACGCAGCGAGGCGAACAGCGTGCAGTACGATGGATATGTTACTGATCACACCGATCTGGCCTCGGAGGTCGATATCGACGAGTCCGAGTACAGGCGGGAGTTGCTCAATGATGTGAGTCGTTATCTCGAAATCGCTGCACGTCGCGATCGATCCCGTCGGGAATAGAGCGTTTAATTGTTAAGAGATCCACGTCGCTTGTTATGAGTTCGTAACATTTTTATCTCGCTGTTTTTTTTTACACAAAATACGTAGACTTTGCATTGAGTCGTTGATGGATGATTAATTTTGCTCGCGAGGCATGATTTTAATATTAATTTTGACGAATGCGGTGACTAATATAAGTTTGTTTCCTTTGCATTACAGAAATGGCGAATGCTCTTCGACAAGGTGTGTATAGAATTGCATTGCTTCGAGTTTATCTGTCTGTTTTCGGATCTACATTCCGCCCGGCTCCTCGTTCCAGTTCGATCCGGAGGGTTTTGGAGAGATACCGCTGGAGGACTTTCTGGCAGCCTTGAGAAGCCCCGAATGGAAGGCGGAGATACCGGCGAACAAACGTGACATACTTCTAACCAGGGCGAAAGAGTCGCGTGTTGAGGCAGTGACTTTCCAGGACTTCGTCAATGTGGTGAGTTTGTAACTCTATTATTGCATGCGCTTTATTCCAAAGGAGCGGTATTGGTGTGACATAATTTCACGACATGTTACACACGTGTAAAAATAATGTAGACTTACTAGCGCACGCGTAAATTGAATCCGTCGTGTTGTCCCCGTTAAACTATTTATCCATATTTTTATAAAGGTTAGATTTAGGCCAAGTTTTAAAAAAGATACATATAAAGTACCTACTTAGAGTTGCGGGTCTTTAAATAATTCGACATATAAATCAGTGATACAAAATACATTTAGTCCAATATTCTACTAGTGAAAGAAACTTATTGACATTCTATCGATTATAAATTCTATTTCATTAACACATTTGTGTTATAAAAATTTTGAATGTCGGATGTCTGACTTGCGCACAGATGGCAAGTTTCCCGGTAAATGTGTTTCGTAAAAGCAAAGAGAGACCTGAGAGCGGCCACGCCGGCGTTTTACTTGATACCGTTTTCGCTCGGCTCATTCCAGCACCTTACGCCCATTTTCATTTTTGGAACTGTTCCGCTACACCCATTTTCAAGCACTGCCAATAAAGTCTCCACTTGGTGCGTGTCCGTGCTACGTCCATTTTTCAAGCGGGTAATGCAGTGCCCAAGTTTGGTTGTGTTCCGTGCTGCATGCATGAAATGTCGGTAACACGAGAGTATTATTAATTTTCCGTAACGGGAGCAAGCGAGAATCCCGATCTTCGAGCCTTCTTCGCTTGCTGTTATTCTCATCTCACTCGCTACTATTACTGTCTCGTTCGCTCTTCTAAGTTCATATTAAAACACAGTATTCAAGAAAATGAATATTAAAGAAAATAATTTTTAAATTATTGAAAATAAACAAGAGGAAGATTAATTTTATACAAAATATAAAATATTTACCCTAAAGTTGCTCCGCCGGTGCCTGATGCCTTCCCCAGGCCTCCTCCTCCACTCAGGTTGTCTTCTTGCACACTCGCGAAAACACAAAG